CATACAGAATAAATGTCCAGCTTCCTCTTCAATATGAGCCCAGTAATGATTTGCTGATAGTAGAGAAATTTCTCTGGGGATTTGCTAGTTCCCTCACTATTCTCACCACTCTTTCTCTGGCTGTACTTTTGTTGACATGTCCCTTGAAGTATGATGCCTGCATTGAACAGAGGGCCTCAAGTGTGGTCTGACCAGTACAGAGTAGCACAAGACGATCACTTCCTTTATTCTGGACGTTATGCTCTTATTAGTATAGCTTAAGGTCATGATACTTTTGGTAACAACCAAATCACACTTTTGATTCATGGATCATGATGAGCTTCCATTTACTCTAAAACCTTCTAAGTCACATCTCACACTTCTTAACAGTTACACTGTTACATTTTGAAAATAAAAAAGGTGACATCATCTTTGTCTTTGTAAACTCTGATTTTGCTATAGCGAGTCCATCATACCAGCCTCTTGACATCTATACAAGTTCTTATTCTGTCATCTCACATTTTGGCACTTCCTCCCAGCTATGTGTAATTTTCAAAGTTGATCTAGTGACATGAAAGCCGGAAATCGCCTAGAATTCCCACATTTCTTCATATTGTCCTAAGAGTATGGTGAGAGAATGTTTCTTTGAGCTCCAGATACACTGCAGTGGTAACATTCTAATCTACCCATCGAGTCAGCCTATCAAAGGAAATGAGCTTGAGTGGGAAATGGTTTTTCCAGAATCCATGCAGGGGCTAAGTGTTCTCTTCCTTTTTAAGTGCTCACCAACCCTCATTTGTTCTAGAATCTTGCCCTCAATCAATATTTAACTCATTGATCTCAGTGATGCAGCAGTGTGCATCCCTTTCACCCTCCATGGGGTTTTCAAAGCCATCACCAGTTGTCCTGCAACTGAAGCTGCAGGTCGTCACAATGCCCTGGGCTGTTATTGACTCAGACTAGGAGATGGAGTTGCTCAGAGCAGCTAAAGGCTCTCTAGGACAAGACTCCCTTGAGGAGCCTCTCTCTGGGGCTCACTTTGTCCCTTTGACTCTGAAAATCCTTCTCCTTGCAGAAAAGAAGAAGCACAGGAGTTGCCAAGGAGATTTTGTTTCCTATCTGTGAAACCATTAGCAAATGAAAGAAAAATCAGGGCCCCCCATTATTCATCTGGCAACACCCAAACTCTTCTGCTGTTGTGAAGACCTCCACAACCTGCTTTTCCAATCTTTTCAAATGATTTCCCATCATTTGACTTGAACCTTTTACTTCTGTCAAGCCAGTTCCCTCACTGCTCCTCAAGCACATTTAGACTCTTACCTCCATGCTCTGGCTGAGGACTTTCCCCCAATTTGGAATGCCCATTATTCCACCACCCACCCAGATCTTACCATAGCTTTTCTTGCAATTTCTCCAGCTCTTTTTACCTTTAACATACAATTGAAGTCACAGAGATTATGCATTTTACTCATCTGATCACAGTTCAGTTTTGTCTTCCTGACAGTATGCACCCCAAAGTGGGTATATTTTATCTCTCATTGTATATAAACCAGCACAGGGCCTGGCTTACAGTCCTGATAACCATCCTTGCTTCCCATGGAAATTTTCCACAGTGACTGACCTCTGGCCCTTCACACACACCACGAGTTCAGATCCCAAGATATCTGTGTCCAGCTCCTCAAAGGACTAATATAGAAACTAGATAAATCTAGAGATGCAGGCTGGATCCGGTTTAGACCCTAATGATTTTTGCCACCTGAAATCAAATCCAAGTATACCCTCAGTCCTTTAAACAAGAACCTGGGCTTTTTCTTTTTTTTTTTTGCTGGACTCGGGGCTGGCAGTCAACAAAGGGGCCAAGAACACTCAAACCACCCAGGCACAGCACTGACTGTCAATTAGACTGAAACTCTGCCTGCATTAGAGGTCATGCAGACCTTTTTTCAGGTGTGAAGACCAACTATGATCTCTCACTGATGAGTCCCAAATAGGGTTGGAGCTGGGTTTGCTATGGCACCTTTAGTTCTTAGAGGAGAGACAATGTCAACATCCTCCCCAACTAGAAAGCCTCCTAATTTGGAGACACACATACCCTCAGAAGAGGAGGCTCATTTTGGTATATCTGACATGGAGTAATCAAAGGATCATAATAACAAAGACTAAATTGATCTAAAATGGTCACATAACCCAGCCCTTTGCATTCAGAAAGATGAACACCGTTGCTTCCCTTAGTCACTCACTCAATTTGGCAACTGTTATTAACGACTTACTACATGCCATGATCAACTCCTATCTACAGCAAAGTTTTGCCTTGTGTCTAACTTAATCTTTCCTCCCATCATTCTCCAAAGAAACGGAGAACAAATCATCAGTTCTGTCCTGATTTGGGAGATGATATATCTCTAGTTTTTTGATGATGATATGTCACACTTGTCATATAGTAGGTGCTCCACAATTATTGAATGTTATGTCATCAGCTTCCTCCTTTCTAAATTAAAAAAAGAAATTAGTCCTTTGGCACGTTGTTTTTGCTCTTCTCCAGATCCTCTCTAGCTTTTCCACATATGCTGAAAATGTGTTGACCAAGGGAAGACCCATTACTGTTTTCAAAGTCCTAACCAATGTTAGGTAGAGTGGAGAAAACTGAGGACCATGAGAAAGGCCATATGTTACTGGACTACATTCTAGGTCTGTTTCTAACACTGTGACATTGTGTTTTTCTGAGTCCATTTCCTCAGTTATAAAATAAGTGGGTTGGACTACATGATTTTGAGCTTACTCCTAAAAAATCTCAGACTGCAATTACTTCCCAGTGACGCCATACTACATTTTTGTTATTATGTGCTAGTATCCAAGTTAGTTTTGGAAAGAAAGAAGGAAGGGAGGGGGGAAGAAGAGAAAGAATAAGGTGAGAGGAAGGAGGGAAGGAGGAGAAAACCAGTTCTACATTAGGGATTCATCCAACTCAAGACCCACCCTGACACCCTCCCCCCAGTTCTATTTTTTTTTTTTTAACTAACCTAGGTCAAGTCAATCATTGCCCATCTCTCTTGTCCCCACATACAGTATTAGTATTTAGTTCTTGGTTTTGGTCTTTTTGCTACCTTGGGTTTGTCCCCTCTGAACGTCATCGTGTTGTGTTGGTTCATCTCCTTCATTCCATCAGGGACACTTTGAAGAATGCTATTCCTGGTTTCTGAGGTGTCAGCAACCCCGCCTAACTGTCACACTTGATGAGCAGACTGTTGGTTTAGTCCTTCAGGTCACTGAGGATAATACGAGATACCATAATGCTAACTCTGTGGAGCCCACTGAATCTGTCCCCCAGGGTTGACAGGCAGCCACTGATCACAGTCCTGGAGAGAAATGCTCCCAGGGCCCCACTGACTTCTCCAATTCTAATTCACAGAACAGGAAACCAGTATCCCTGGAGAGGAGAGGGCCCCTGCTCTGTCAGTCACCCAAGGCCAGGGAGTCCACATATCTGATGCTGCACTGGATTCAGACATGAAAAAGAATTTTCAGCATATTAGAGGGCGGACCTCGTCCCAGCTCCCAGTCGTCCAGGACGAGGGCAGGGTAGTGGCGATGGTGGCAGAGGCAGCAGCGGGTGGTGGCGGCAGTGGCAGCAGAAGCCGTGGCGCAGTGGAGAAGGAAGTGTTATTTTTGCAGTTTCATTAGGAGGCCCGAGGTGCTGAGAGAAGGCTTCAGCCGCAGGAACCCAGAGCGCTGGAGGGTGAGGGTGGGGGTGGGGACAGCAACCTGATTAAGATATGAGAGGCCTTCGTGCAGGGGGTCAGCAGCCAGCTGCCCAGACTCGTATCAGCTTAAAGGCACAGGATGCAGAGGGAGACTGCGAGTCCTCACCCGCAGAGGTGCCCTGCCAGGAGGTCTGTCAGGGCAAGGCCTGTGCAAGGGAGGCAGTTTGGGAGTGCTAACTGGATTTTTTATTTTTATATCAAGACACTGTGTTTAAAATTTTTACAAAGGACAAACTCCATGGGTTTCCGTTAGTGTTTTAAGAACTTTTCTTTAAAAAAAAAAAAGCCAACAACAACAAAAAACACCGTCTTTTTGAAAGAGAAATGACATACACGAAAGAGACTCTAAAGAAAATGGGGCGAATTTCTGATAGCATTACCCCAAGGGCAGAGGTAGGACCCAGCTTTACACCCAGGGCCCCCAATAATGACATGGCCTCCACAAAACCTCCTTCACCAAATCTGGGGTCCCTTGGTCTAGGGAGGCCGATGCTCCTGGGGAACGCAGGTCACCTGTGGTCTCCACAGCCCTCCACAGGGATAGAGGTGACTGGTGAGTTGTCCCCTAGGCCTTCCAACCCCATCCAGCGACAGCCCCTTCCTCCTTCTCCCCCATGGTCTTGCTCGAATCTGTTTCTTTCTTGGGGCTCACGTTCCTCAGTCATTGTGTGAGCAATGGGAGTTCCAAAGCCAGAGAGACCTGGGCCTGGAGCCCCCCCCTTCCAGAGCCTCTTTGCACTCATGGGTTGGAGAAACATTTGTTCCAAATTTTTTTTAAAAAAATCAACAAAAACGAGACCCAGAAAAAAGACCAAGTCTAAGGGAGAAAGAGCTACTCTGCTCTTTAAAGCTCCCAAGTCTGGAGTTGGTGGGTGGTGCAGTTCCAAGAGATGCGGAAGGCGAGCACCAAGGGGTATCCAGCTGGTGCTTCAGGCTCCCTGGGAGTGTCTATGGTCAGGTCTGGGAGCTGGCTTCAGCTGCTGTTCCATGGGTCCTCAGTTTCCCAAGGACTCATGTGTGTCTCCATTTGAAGGACTTGTTCAGGTTTACTTCCTTATTTGTGTTGTTGCACATGCGGGTGCATGTCCATACCTGTCTATGTTTGTGCACATGGGTCTGCTGTTGGGTGTGGGTGCGTGCGTATACATAGATGTCTGCATGTGACTGTGTGTGTGTGTGTGTGTGTGTGTGTGTGCATGTGTTTTTGTGGATCTGGGAGGGGTAGAACCAGGATATAGGCTGTGCTCTGGGCTGGAGCTACTATACCCGGGTGGTGGAGTGTGAGTGGGGCAGCCCAGTACTGTTGAACCCTGCGGCAAAGGTGTTATAGGGGTGCAATGTCTGCAGCCCCACCAGGGAATTGGGGATCATAGTGATGGTGTTGGGGGTCATAAGTGGAATGTCATCAGGGGAGCGCCGCAGGGTCAGCGTGTAGTCAGGCAGCGTGGTGAGGCGCAGGGTGTCGTGGGGGGGACCCGCCTCACACTCGTGGTGTGTGGGACCCAGCTGCAGTGCTGCCAGCTCCTCCTCGGGAGCAGCTCCCAGTTCAGGAGCCCCGGCTCCCCTCTGAGGGCTGGGCTGCCGCAGGGGCTCCTGACGTCGCTTGTCCTTCCGATAGTAGAGAGCAGCAAAGGCCAGGACATTAAGGAACAGGAGGGAGGCCCCCACAGCGATGGTGACGCTTAATTCAGTGGAGTAGTCACGTGGGTTCTCCACCAGGAGTGGCCCTGCATCCTGGTCCCCGTTCCAGGACCCCTGGGCGTTCTCGTTGCTGTAGGCAGGGGAGATGGCTGGCCGCTTGGTGCTCCAGGTCTTGCCATTGGGCCTGCGGGTGATGTGGGAGCTGTGGGTGGTATCCGGGGGCGGCACTTTGGTGGTTGTGGACGTGTAGTGGAACATGTCGTGCAGGTTGTATAGGTGGGGCACCAAGTGTTTCCAAAAAGCCACCTTAGTGGCCCGGTAATGATCGCGGACCCTTGGCTTCAGCCCGATGTGAAGGTACAGCTGGTCTCGGGGATTGTATTTGGACCAGGCCACTTCCTCAAAGCGGTTGGCCTTGGTGTGAATGAACTTGGTATCCTGGGGGACCGGCTTGTTTGGATCCCTGAAATACCACATGGAAATCTGGGGTCACCACTCTATTTAATGAGGAAAAGGCCCAGATTCTTCCTTTCATACCCAGCCCTAAACCCCTTCCCCAGTCCAGAATGTCCTACCATTTCCATCTTTTCTGGGGTCCCTCACCCTGTCCATACCCAGACCTTGAACTTCTATTGCCCATGGCATCATGGAAACCATCACATCCTCCCCTGCACCCATCCTCTGAGATCAAGCTATAGGATGCTTCTTCTCACAAGTTACAGAGCATCCATTAATCTTTTCAGCTGCCCAGTTTTTCCAAGAGCCCTTTAAAGGCTTTCTGAATGTACTTTATTCCCACTTCACCCGGCCTCTTACCATCTAAACTCAAACCCCATAGTTATGCCAGTAATTCTCATTCCTGCTTGATCCTAATGCTGACCAAGTTCTGAGCCTCAACAAAAATTTTTAAGGGAAGGAAATGGCATGAAAGACTAGATAAGGGGATGTACGGAGAGGGATGAAGGGGTTACCAGTCAAGATTTGGGGACTGTTTTAGGAAGGGAGATGATGGAAGAGGTTTAGGTAGAGGAGCAGAGGGGAGGTCACACTAGGGTCCCAAAGTAGAAGAACCCCCACCTTCTCCTTACCCAGTCTTGGCAAAGTTGGTCCAGTAGGTCATGACAACAGCACTGAGCATAACATCATTCTTGGAGAAGTTGCAGGGGAAGAGGTCAGTGGGGCCTACCATAGGGACACCGAAAACATAGGGTACTTCATCCCCATGAGCTGCGTCTGACCAAGCAGGCTTCATGAGGCTCTGGCAGTGATGGTAGAAGGCGTAGAAGTAGGTAGGCGAGCCATAGCGGGCATGCAGATCAGCTGTCACCACTGAGGGCTCCACCCACTGGTGGTCAGTGAAGAGTGCCACCAGTGTCTTACGACGGGTCTCAGGATTGTCACGGTCTGCCCAGTCTGTGTACATGAACTTGATGGTCTCCCGCAGGGTGTCCTTACCCTCAGGATAGCCATACAGATTGTCCACAAAGTTGGAGACTGAATAGTCAAAGTCAGTGCCAGAGACACCATCCTCAGGGTCCACCACCCCTTCCACAAACTTGAGCCCCTCACCCTGGTTGACACCTAGCATGATGTCATAGTTGAGGAACTCGCCCTGTTCCATGAGAATCTCTGGGTCATCAGGAATGACATCACCATCAATCACTGGGCCAAAAGCCACATGGTAGCGGGCTGGCTGGATGTCTTGCTCTACCAGCTCCTTGGCACTCTTTTGCCGAAGACAGTCCACCATGTCGACTGTGTCTAGCACATTACAGCCCACCTTGTCTGCCAGCAGGCTGGTGTACTTCACTGGTTGGTAGTTCACAGCCCAGCTGGACAGAGCAGAACCGCTTTGGATGATGGCCCTCTGGAAAAGCCCTTAGAAAACAGATACCACCAAGTCAGATCATCATGTCACTCATGGCCTAGGCCTTGTCCCTGTGGGACAGATCAAACACCTCTTCATTCCTTTTTTACTGAGGTCGCCCTCTGGGTTGAATGGGCTGTGAAGAAGGAATAACCCTTTTGCTGGAATGATGGGTTAGGACCAGAGGAGGGGTTGTTGGGCTCCTTTCCTGACTGGTCCCCTGCCTGTTTCTTGTCTCCTCATTCTAGGATGATGGTTGGTAACTTGGGGGTTAAGGAAATGCCAGGAAGAATTAACCCCTTGGGTCCCAGACATCAGTTTCCTTAGACTCCCTCTCTTTATCTCTCCTTTTCTTCCCCTCTTGCTTCCTGCCCAGCTGGGCCCAGCTCTGTGCCAGCACACCACCAGGGAGCTGGCGCTTCCACCACAAAGGGGTCTTTTTCATGAGGGATGAGAAATGCAGGCAGGAGAGAGTTTCACATTCTGGGAGTTTGGGGAAGGATTCCTGAGGGCAAAGGCCCTGTGGTCTGAAGGTCTCCAGGGCATGTGCCCTCCCAAACTGTAGCCTCCACAGGGACTTTCCTTTTCCTGAAGCTACTGATGCCTCAGGTCCAGATTTTCCCCTCGCTAAGAAGGAGCCAGTCCCCCAAACTCAAAACATAGATGATTCTTCCCCTCTATGGAAAAAAGGTATCATTCTTTTTCTGACCTCAACATTCCCAAGTAAGGGAAAATCTGGCCCACAGGAGTACAGTTCTGTTCCTTTAAGAGAATGAGTTTATGGGACTTCTCTGGTGCTCCAGTGGTTAAGACTCCGTGTTCCCAATGTAGGGACTACAGGTTTGAGCCCAGTTCAGGGCACTAACATCCTGTATGCCATATGACATGGCCATACACAAAAAAGAGAGAGTGAAAGAGAGTTTAAGGGAGTCTGCATGGGTGAAAAAGAGAGGGAGAGAAATATAGATAACTACATAAGAAAGCCTCATTTTTTGAAAGATTATTCTCCATTAATCAATTACAGAAAGACAGAGAGAATAAGTCTTTAAAGCAGTCAGGTTGCCAGGGACACAGGCCCACTATGAGACAGAGAATTAGCACCACACCAAGAAAGGCTTTCTCCTCCCAGGGAAATAGTCCCCAATCAGAGGAGGCACTGTTCCTCTTTCCGGACAGAGGCACCCTCACCACTCGTCACTTCACTCTCCTTGATGGAAAAAAGGAATTCCTGTTCCCGTACCATCACCTAGGAACACATTCTAAGCTGCCTACTTCCTACCTTAGTCTTCACTCATGGAGTCCCTGGAGGGACGGAGGCAGAATTTCTAGGTCAGAAAAGGTGATTTTTCTCCCTCAGAGAGACAGGCCTTCTTCAAAGAGAGAACGCAAGTCTTCCTGTGAGAATATCACTAACTCATAAGGTGGATTTCAGTGAAAAACTGTGTTCTCTCTCATTGTTTTCCTTACTTTAGAGAAGGACACTTATTTTGGGAAGCTCATCTTTGCCTCTCAGAGGCATAAAGGGCTCTTAGAGTCCAGGTGGCGCTAGTGGTAAAGAACCCGCCTGCCAATTCAGGAGATGTAAGAGACACGGGTTCTATCCCCGAGTCGGGAAGATCCCCTGGAAAAGGGCATGGCAACCCACTCTAGTATTCTTGCATGGAGAATCCCATGGACAGAGGAGCCTGGTGGGCTACAGTCCATAGGTTCACAAAGAGTTGGACACGACTGAAGCAACTTAGCATGTACTCATAGTCCACAGGTGAAGAGAACATTTCCTGCTGAACACAAAAAAGGGTCTATTCGGCCCCCTTGGAAGGGTCACTGGCAGAGGCTTCCCATCAGGCTAAAAATTAAAGTCTCCCTTAGCTGGGGTCATACAACTTGGCAGTGGGAGAGATTTGGTCTGGAGTGTGATAAGAACTTGCCATCCCTCAAACAAAGCTCACCCACAGGTTTTTAATGCTGGCTTTGGCCCTGTCTCCCCCGTCAAGGGCAGTTCCTGTCTTACACAGACTTGCTCCTCAGAGATGAAGGCCGAGAATGAGTGTTTCTTACACCTAAAAACTAATTTCCACTCTAGAGCTCTACCCGAAGTCACGTGTCCTTCCCACACAGAAAGATTTCCCCTGCCCAAAAAGAGTCAGTGTCCCTTCAGAGAGAGAGAGAGAGAGACATCCTACTCCCACACTCCTCAATAAGACTCCCACATCACAAAGAGAACCTTCCTTTCTCAAGATATAAATGGGATTCTCTCCTTCCCTCTCTCACACTGGGAGATATACATCTTCCCCTAAAGAAACACTTCCCATCCACTTCTCCCCAAAGAAGGCTTCCCTGGTAGCTCAGCTGGTAAAGAATCTGTCTGCAATGTGGGAGGCCTGGGTTTGATCCCTGGGTTGGGAAGATCCCCTGGAGAAGGGAACGGCTACCCACTCCAATGTTCTGGCCTGGAGAATCCCATGGACTGTATAGTCCATGGGGTCACAAAGAGTCAGACACAACTTTCACTTTCACTTTCTCCCCAAAGGGACACTGAGCTGGTAGGTGAGGGTTGCTGTTTCCCCTGGGTGCTCTTGGGACATGAAGCTGGGCACCCCGGAGCCTGGAGGGCCTGGGGTCAGGGTCAGCAGCCAGCACTTGGCTAGTTCTTGTGCTGTTCCAAGAGCTACTCACCCTCAGAATGATGCGACAGCGTGAGGAGGCTGACACAGGATGCGCCAATGCCCGAGCCAAAGACAGTGATACGGCGGGGATCACCACCGAAGAAGGCGATATTCTCGCTCACCCAGCGGAGGGCCTGGATTTGGTCAAGAAGCCCATAGTTGCCCTTGGCAGCCTGATCACCAGTGCTCAAGAAACCTGAATTCAATAAAGGGCACAAGGACAGTGAAGGTGGAGGGATGGAGCATTTGGATGACGATGACTGTCAGGGGCATGAGGATGGAGGATGAGCATGCAGCGTAGCTCTTTTCACCCAGTTAGCATTAACCATTGCTCTTTTCTGCAAGGTCCAGCACCATCACTCTAGGAAAGATCAGTTCCCTACCTCCCACTCATTCCCCAGTTTGGAAGGCAGGGTCTCCAGACTGTCTGAAAGGGAAGCCTCCAGTTGGGAGACTTAAACTGCAGGAACTGTAAATGGCCAGTATCCAGCATCCTCTGCCTTGATGTACTAACTGATACATTACTCTAGCACCTGTCAAGACAGAGTAGAAAGAGCAGGGACCTTAGCTCTACCATTTACTGGCCATGTAGTTTTAGGCAACTTATTGAAAATCCCTGGGTTCTAGTTTCCTCTCCTGTAAAATGGAGATAAAATACTTCAAAGGGTTGTATCAAGGATAAAATGAGCATAGGCATCTCAAATATGCTCAGCACACTATACATCGATAGCTACTTCTCTTTTCCCTTTGTTCTATCTCTGGAGGAAGTGAAGATTCCAAGAGACTATAATCCCTAAGCCCTCCTGGCACCCCCTATCCAAGCTTGTCCATTTCCACTTCCTTCCAGGGCCTCAGATGCCCCCTTCTCCTCATTCTCAGGGCAGGTCCTCATTTCCCCATCCTCCAAGACCTAATGAATCAGAAGCTCTGGGGGTGGGGCCCAGCAATCTCTATGTTTAACAAGCTCTCCAGGTAATTCTGATGCCTGCTAAAGTTGGAAAACCACTGGGTTAGACCATCTTTTTCGTCTGGTGGAGAAATGGGGAAGTCAGTGCAGCTCATTACCACAGAAACAGGTCTTCCCGCCCACCCACTGGGATTTGCTGCTGAGGAGACATGTCACCATGGAGACTACCTTCCCACCCACCTGCTGGGATTTGCTGCTGTGGAGACTTGTTGCCATGGCGACTACCTTCCCACCCACCTGCTGGCTATCCCACAGAGATGTCCTATATTCCCCCCACCCCACCCTGCTTCCATTTTAGTCTGATCTTGCTGCTTCATTTCATCCTCTTCCCTGGTATTTAGGCTCCTTGGAAGGCTATCATCTCCTGCCCTAGGCTTTTGGAAAGGTTCTTTCCAGGTGGATAGCTGTGGTGCTCTTACACACTGAAAACCTATACCTGGGTCAGTATTTTTTAACTCCACAGTTAAAAGCTCATCCACAGCCCCTGGGATCAACTTTGTGGGAGGCCATGTTTGAGGAGGCTCCCTCAGCTCGCAGAGAGTTCTCCAATGGGCCTGGTAGACCACGGGCAGAAGCTGAATTCAAACAGACTCAAGCGGGCACAAGACCTCATCACTGTCTTTCTTGAGTCCTTCTGAATGTAGCTACTGTGAAAGAGCTCATTTCACCCTCTTCAAGTATGTTATTAATTTACCTTTGGTGCAATTAAGTATGTAAAGTACTTAGTTATTCCTCTCAGGACCTAGTCATAAGCCCTCTTTAGCCCCAGGTTCCCAATGAGGAAATGAGAAGGAATTAGAGAACGCCTGAATGAGGATGAATGGAGGAGCTCTTGTGCCTCTAGACAAGGGAACCAGCTTCTTGTTGGCCCATTCATAAGCTGAAGTTGCTCCTGCAAGTCTTGAAAAGTATGCTGACCAAGATCCAACCTGGCTGTCCAAGCCTTGAGACCCTCTAGCAAAAATCATTATATTTCTCTTAGCCTGCCTGTCCTCCCTCCTCTCTCCTTCCCCCATTTTCTCTCTGCCTTGTCTCTTATTTAGGCAATAGCAGACTTGGCTTTGGTCTTTGCCAGGGTATCATTCAGTGAAATGTGTCAAATACACCTGTCCTAATCAGCAGGGAGAGCCTGCATTTGGATGTAGTAAAGTAGATTTCTCCAAGATGTACCAATTTCCTGGGTTGGGAACAAAGCCTGAAAGGGCTGAGTGGAGGATTTGAGCATCACTCTCTGCTCCCTCAGGTCCCATGAACCTCAGGATAAGAGGCACTGAAGCTTGTGGATGACGTCATGTCAACCATCCTACTGCAAGCGTCCTGCTTGAAGTGCTCTATCCAACAGGCTCAGGCAGATGATACAGTAAATGTCACTGACCACAAACACAAAAAACCTGGCAGTTTGGAAGAGCAGTCATTTGCTGCTGGTTCCCCAGTAACTAAGTCATCCAGAGAAACCATGTGAGAATGAGGGCTGAGACACCCAACTCCATAAACTGCTAGAGCAAATCTGAGCCAGTCTCCCTGGGCCCGAGTTTATACTGCAGTACATGGTAAGCTGCTTGTTAACAGAAGACAGGGGAATCTGGTACACTGTATCAAAACCAGATACATATGTCATCCATGGCTTGATGTTTACCAGGTTTTCAGTTTGCCTGAAGGTACCTGAGCAAGGATGTAGGATTCATTTCTGAAATCTGAAAGAAAACTCAGCAAGCCCCTACTTCCTCAGCCCCAGGGATATCCACATCCTATATCCTGCTGGGGTCCCTTTCTTTTGTTGGTCTCAAGCCCAGTGGTGGCTTTTCAAGTTATAGCTACCTCTCTGCCTTGGATGGGATCCATGGGCTCACCTATGACATCATCTAATAAAATATGTGCATCACCTAAGATGTCTAAAAAAGTGCCTTGGAGGGAACTGTCTGTTTGGGCTTAGGGCTTGGAGAAGCTGATTGGAAGGAGAGTGAATGAATGCATATAATAAGGTCCAAAACTGGTCACATGTTTTGGGAAACAAAACAACAAAGCCTCAGCTATACAGCAAAATCCCCAAGAAACAGGGACAAACCCATGTTCTATATCTAGTGCCAAGAGACAAAAACATCTCCTATGTATCCAGGGTCCAATCAGTGGCTTATTGATTACATCTGTGTTCCAGAGCAGGCACTGAAGGGCACACAGGAGGTAGTGGGAAACTTCTGGCCAAATCTTACTTTATGGCTCTTTCTGAGGTTTGGGTAGTAGTATTTTGATCATTAACTATTTAAGTCCAAAGAATACAAATGTTTATTTTTTTAAAATAAACATTTAAAAAAATGTGCTTTTTTTAAAAACCCAAGATGTGCTGTTCTGGTTATGCAAACGAGAGGAGGTTGTAAGGTGGTGGTCGGGGTCTTAAACTGAATTTCGTGGATGAGTTTCAGTGGGATCCATGAAATAATTTCTATAAGTTTGTGTGTGTTTGTGTGTGTGTGTATGCACGCAAGCATTTTCTGGGGTAAGAAGGCCATCATTTCTATCACAATTTCAAAGGGGTCCAAGACTCCCCAAAAGGTTAAAAACTTCTGATATACAAGCTTAAGGATTAGAGCAACTGAAGGGTTGTGAAGTAATCATCAAACCAGGATATCACAGGGAGCTTGCAGCCCACAGCTCCCAAGTGACACTTCAAATCCTGAGTCTCTCCTCTGCCTCCTTTCTCTGTGTCACTCTCATCCTCTTTTCTCTTTACCATCCTTTCCTTCCCTTTCTTACTTTTCTCCCCTCATTTCCCCAGTTCTCCACTCTCTCTTTGCCTTCATCCCAGCTGGTCAGATAATTTCGAACTGAAGCATATTCTTAGTATTCTCTGTGCTTTCCATTGGTCCTTAGAGAATGGAGCTTTGTGTTGATCATTTTTAAAAAGCAGCTGAATTGAACATTTTCTATCACTCTAATTTAGAAAATAAAGTAACAAAATTACTTCTGGCCTTCAACAACCATGCATGTGTGCCTGCATATCTGTGTGTGATTACATTTGTATATTCATTACTCTTCAGGCACTGGGCAGCCCAAGTGTGTGGGTTTACAGCCACCTGCATGGTACCATTTTTACTGTCAAAAGACTCCAATCCTCTTTCTCAATGGGACAGAACAGCTTACGAGAGCCTTGCCATGATGTCAGGGGCAACTCCGAGAGCCACAGGAGCAGTGGCAGAACTATGAAACCTGAAGCCCACTAGACTGTGGAGAGATCAGGGAGATGCCCCACATACGTCACATCTAGTATCTGGATCTGCTGAAGGGGACACAGGCTCCACTTTTTTCAGGGAATATCATTTCTCCAGCCTGAACCCCCAAAAGATGTCTTGCTATCCCACGTAGTATTAAGGGGAAGTCAACAGGAGGTGGCTTTTCTGTGTATGGAACTGCACCCACAAGTGAAATGCAGCTCTGGGGCCTCTGAGGTTCGAACAGGCAAAGCTACATATTCACAAGTATATGAAAATAAGGTCCCATCAGCCAACCAGCCCTGAAGAAGCCAGGCCTACTTGTTGGTTCAGCACCCAGGCCTGCAGACCTGACAAAGAGCCCTGACCCCCACTGGGACTCTGAGGACACCAGCCTTCCAGGCAGGAAGTTGGCTTCTTTGTGCCACTCCCAGGGTATTGGGCTGCATGCACCCTCAGAGGCCTGTGTGCTTGATTGCCCTCTCTGAGGCACTTGTTTACCTCAAGACCTTGGCCACAGTCAGGCATTAACAGTTATCAAGGAAGGCACAGGGCAGAGGGGCACCCCAAATCTCCAAAATAAGCACGTGGGTGACAAAGTATGTGTGGGAAGGGGATAAGGGTGTGTATGAGGAGGTATTTGAGAAGTAAGTGTGCATGTGTGGGAGCACAATGGTGTAAGGGATAGGAGTATATGGAGATATGTGTAGAGAGAGTAGAAGAAATGTGTAGTGTATGTATATGGGGTATGTAAGTGTGGGATGTGCCTGAGTGTGTATGCATGTATGGATATGGATGACCAGGTGTGGGTATATGGATGCATGTATATTTGTGGGGTAGGAATATGTATACATGTATGTATTGGACATATATATGCTAGATGTGTATAGGAAGAGTATGTGTGCATATATACGTGTGTATGTGTGGGTATGTGCATGGGGGTCTGTGGATTTGTGTATAAGGGGGGATGTATAAGGGGGGGACATATATTACATGTAGAGCATGGAATGTGTATGTACATGTGGAAGCAGGGATATGAGGGATATATGTAGTATTTGTGTACTTTGGGGTGGGGAGGTGTGGACTTGCAGGTATGGCTCCTATATGTGTAGGGAGGGGAACACTGGTTCCTTATGTAGGGAAGCTGAGGGACATACGCGTGTGTGTGGATGTTAGAGGAGAGTGGATACAGAAGTGGGGTGTGTAGGGGGACATAGATCTGTGTATGTATAGAAGATTCCCCCAACCACTCCATATACACTCCACACATATAGTCTCCCCTACACACATATCCAGATACCCCACACCTCTCTACACTCCTTACTCATACACATCTTATCCATACCCCACATCTACACAGATTTCTCTCACCTCCCATGTATACACACACACAAACACACACAAACACATACACACACACAGACGTTCCCTTCACATCGCTATATCTACATCTGTGCCCTTATACATATGCATGGGGTTTGGGTGTGGGTATGGACCCAGGCTGTGGGTCTTTGTGTAGAGTGCATTATGGGGATAGAGGGAAGCGTGAAGTGGGCATGTGTGGTGTATATGGGCATAGATGTAGATATAGTGATGTGGAGAGAACCTGTGTGTGTGTGTGTACGCATGGAAGGTGAGAAAAATCTGTGTAGATATGGGGTATGGATATGGAGTACAGAGAGGTATGCGGGTATCTGGATATGTGCGCTGGGGAAAATATATGTGTGGAGTGTGTATGGAGTGGTGGAAGAATGTGCATATATGTGAGGGGGTCTGTAGATGTAGGGGTGTGTGTGTGTATGTTTGTGGAAGTGAGAAATAGTTGGACACATGGGGATGGATGTGGGCCGTGTGGACATGTGGACATGTGAGGGTATATGGGTGTGCAGATGTGTGATTGACTAAAAGGAGTATCTATGTATGTATAGGGTGTTTAGGGATGTGCGGGTGGGAGAGTAGGGATAAGGACAGGACACCAGAAAATAAATTGATTTTACAAAACTCAGCCATGCAAAAATCTGGAAGCAGAGACCTAGCCTGAGGCCTAAGAGAAGGTGTGAAGTTTGAACTGAATTTCGAATGGCATCTCAACATTCCAGGAGAGGACCTAGGGATGTGCATAAGCTCCGAGCAGTTGGGTAAGACCATGGATAACAACCTTGTGACCACTGTCATTAGCACCAGCTAGAGAACCCAGGGGCTTGTTCTCAACTCCTCATCCTTCCTCCTTGAGAGCTCAGGCTTCCTTCTAGGTATCCAACAGGGAACCATACCTAGCACTCCAACCCGATAGTTGAGGGTGATGACGATGACGTTGCCATAACTGGCCAGGACACTGCCGTCAATCATGTTGCCTGTCCCTTCCATGTAAGAGCCTCCATGGATGTAGACCATGACAGGCTTAGCGCCACTGTCCCGGATGTCTGCAAGGAGAAGGGTTGAGATACAGGCTGGGTAGGCTGCCCTTCCTCCCCCACCCCCGCCAGCCCTGGGGTGGGGTGCGGGCAGCAAAGCTATCCCAGGTTCCAGGACACCACTGCCATCTCTGAGGGCAGGACTCAGGGGGCTGTTCAGCCCAGAGCTTGGGCCATCGGCCAGAGAAAGTCAGATTCTGGTGATGTTTTTAAAGACTGGTTTCAAGTGCCTCCCAGCTGAAGGCAGCCAGGTGTGCCTGATACAGTGAGTTCTACAGAGGCTGTGGCTGAGCCCTGGGGGATGGGGCAGGAGGAAGAGAAAGGGCTGGTCCCTTAGCTGGATCAGTGAGTCCCTGCCCTGGGCACCCAGGAGTCCTGGGACCTGACATGGCTTTAGAGAGCAGGTGCTGGGGAGCCCTGAAACCCCCAAGGCTAGACCAGTTACATGGAAATACGGCCATTGGCAGCAGCTGGCCCCCCAGTGCAGACAGAGACAAGAGGTGTGGGGGTAAGGGGTGGCACAGGAAGAGAACAAGGGAAAATGTGGGGACAGGGGAGAGAATGGCAGAGATGGGGTTGGGGGGGACCTTACTGACATGGTTTCTCAACCATGTGCTCATTCACCCCGTTCTCCCTGGACATCAGGCAGACTTAGCTGCAAACACTGGGGATGGGGAAGAGGTGGGGGCAGAACTAAGAATGAGAAAGCCCACCCCCAGTCAGCTCTGAGATGAAGATGGAGCCTCCGTAGAGGCCACTCAGCAAGGGATTTTTAAGTGGCTGCTCCCAAGCTGTGACCGTCCCAAGGGGGGACAGGGCTGATTGCCTACACCGGCAGCACACCCCCCACCCCCGGCCTGGGAGCTGGGCTGCACCCCGCTGCCCCAGCACACCCTACCAGCCACCAGTGGGCCCCCTTGAGCTGTGTGGCCCCCAGGGGTGGGGGCCGGGGCATGGAGGTAGAAGGGAATGCTCTCTGCTGCCGCAAACACAACCTGTTTTCCTGAGGAGGAAGGAAGACTGGTTCAACCATCACCCAAGGATCTTATGCCATCCACTGCCTGGTCTGTGGCGTACTGGCCTCAGCCTGGTGTTTCAGCCTGGTCCTCGTGGCCATCCTGAACCTAATACAGCCCCTGACCCCTGGCCATCTCTCTCTTTCTGTGCCAAGGCCAAGGAGGTTCTAGGTGGCGCTGTTCCCCAGCCCCTGCGGTCATCACTGCCTCACTCCTCACTTCCCTCTCCCAGGAGCCAACCTCCCCACAAAAACACAGGGGCTCCTGCCATTCAGGTTCCTCTGCGCCTCTCCTCACCCCCCACCCTCCTCAGTCCTGCTTTCTCTCCACTCTCCCTGCTGCTCAGTCGGGGCAGGTGCCCAGGAACCACAGAAGATGGGGAAGGAAGCTGTCTCTGGGCACTGGGGGACCCCATGGCTCTGCTCGTGGTTCCCTGCTCCCGCCAGCCGTGTCCATCACCCTGGAACTCCCAGTGGCTGACCAGGCCAAAGATGGATGAACAGCCCAACGGCCTTGTACAGGAACAGAAACACACCAACGGACAGACAGACAGACAGACGGGGCTTCTCCCCATTGAGAGGGGGAGGGGCTCTGTGCCATGCACCAGCCGCCACGCCCTGCAGCCCCCAAATACCTTCATCTTCATCCCCGTCATTATCCGCTAAGTCCTCGCCCTGTTTCTTAGCGCCGGATCCTGGGGACCAGACACGGGGAGACACAACAGCACAGAACAGAGAACAAAACAGAGAGAGAATTCAAAAACAGCATGACTGCAGTGTGGCCCAGCAAGCCAGCTCTGGGCCTGGGCCCAGGACAGGCAGGAGGGATGGCAAGAACTGAGGGAATGGGTGGGCTGAGGCCCAGACCTTCATCAGGATGATGGTGTTGCAGGCCCCTGCTGTGCTGGCCTCACTGCACCTCCCTACCTGCCTCTCTGTCCCCAGAAGCCTGTCTCAGCCAACCACCTTCCCAGTTAGGAAGGAGGCAGCAGCAGGTGGGCCAGGGCATGGAGCTGGAGACCATCTCAGGGGAAGGCCTTCTCCCAGGTGGAAGGGGCTGCACATGCGTACACAGGCCAGCTGAGCTGGAGCGTGGGGGCAGGCGCCAAGGGTGAGAGGCGGCATCACCACCGTGTAGCTACAGACATGAGCTGTCAGGGCAGAGACAGGGACCCTAGCCCTAAGCTATCTGGGTCCAGTGGGCAGGCTCAAGCTGGGTCTCAAATGATTCTGATTCCCACAGGAGAAACTGGGAGATGAAGCTTTCCCTCTGCTCTTCCTCGCTGGGACCTGCTCTGGCTAATGGCAAATGGGGTTCCTGCCCACAGGAACCAGGCCTGAGAGCAGCAAGCATTGCTCTGAGATCGAAAGAGAGCCAGAGAGGGAGGGAGGGAAGAAAAGGAAGGGGACAAGGAGAAAGGGACATGAGAGAGAGAGAGGAAGAGAGAGAGAAACAGAGATAGGAATGATGGTAGCAGCTCCTACCATGTACCGAATGGTTACCATGTGCCAGACACTCTACTTCTGCCATATTGTTTGATCCTTACACCCCAGTGAGGGAGGGACTATCTTTATTCCTGTTTCACTGATGGGGAAACTGAGGATCAGAGAAGCAAAGTGACTTGCTTAAGATCACACAGCTAGGAAGTGCTAGAGGTGAGATCCAAACCCAGGTCTGCTTGATTCCAAAGCCCATGGTCTTTCCACTGCACCATGCCACCTTTCTGGGATAGGGAAAGGGAAGGGAAAAAATAAGTCAGGAAAAGAGGTGGAGCATGGGGAAGGGAGAAGGGAGGGAATAAGAGAAAAGAAGAAACTAGAGGAGAGAAGTTTAGGACCTGGCTGAGCTGGCACCAACTCTCCTTCCCATTCTAAGACAAGAAGTTCATCTTGAAAATGGCTTTGAGAAAGAAGACCCACCGCCCAGGTGCTGATCAGTGTGTGGAAACAGAGGTCATTCTATGGTACCCCAGGGCTTATCCTCTTGTCTAAGACATCAGATACGCTTGGCCCGGAGGCAGCAAATAGCTTTCTTTCTCAGCTGGTCTGGGTTCCCTTACAGCTATTAATCAAAACAGGAGCCGCCTTCAAATTATAAAATAACTTTTCAACTAGGGCAAGAGCCCAGCCTGAGGGGCAGAAACTGCCTCTGGCTTTCTGAACTTCCAGTGGTGCCTACCGCCTTAACACCTGACGACAGCACTGCTCTCAGAAACCCTGTGGGGCCTGGGGCATCATCACCCATGCAGCAGAAAGCCCCACCCCATCCTCAAACAGCAAGGAATCACTCATCCTTAAACATGAATTCCCTCCAATTTGATGGAGATGGAGGTGGGGGGACAGGGCACACCTTCCCCAGGAATTTCTTCACTTACTCTGGACCCTGACTTAAAAGATGTGTCCCTTTTGTCCCCTTCTGGGAATGTCCCTGGCTTGCTGCACTGTCCCAGCCTCCTTTGTACAGATGCTTTGCTCCCTCTGCATAACACTCACTGAGCAACTCCTCACTGCCATGCCTGTCCCCGGCACTCCAGGGACCAACTAGACCACCATCCCCCAGTCCGGTACTGTGCTGCTGCAGGTGCCCAACCAGCCCTGCCTGCCCTGAACACACCACTCCCATAACCATCTTTGGGGATGGGTCTCCCCCAAGAGGCAGGCTTTTAAAATCTGTTCCAAATGGCCAACAGGCCCTGGATAGGGAACTAATTTGAGCAGCAAAATGACCAGATGCCCTCTCCCATGTTGTCTGGAACCCACTTCCCAGCTTGGCCTGTGGGGCTTCACTAAACCAGCTGAGTTTCAACACTAGCCTATGAGCTTCTTCAGGGTAGCAATCGAATCTTTAGTTATTTCTAAATCTTTCCTCTACCTCGTATCCCTCCACATCCCAACAGCACCTAGCACATGGCCTTGCCCATAGTCAACAATCACGATTGGTAAATGTTTGAACTTGACTGGTGCTTCCAGGTCTGGACTCTCAGGACTCGATTGGACTGCCCTAGCCTCTTACTGGTGCTCTGGGGGATCAACTGCTCCTAGGAAATGGTTAATGTCATCGCCTCCCCCTCCATCCCCACACCCAAGTAAGCAAGTAACTACTAGAAGCAGGTTTAACAGACCCTCTTCATGAATTCCTTTACAGGTTAAAGGAATGTTAAGATTGGAATAGTCCCCTACCCCCTTCAGATGCAGAAACGGAGGTTCTCAAAGGAAAAGACTTGTCTAAGGCTTCACTGTGAGTTAGCAGCTGATATGGGACCCAGGCTTGTGGCTCCCAGACCCATACTCTTTACGCAGCACCACCATCTCCTATCTTCATTCATGCAAAAGCGTGTTTACTGATTGCCTTCTGAGCTCGAAGCCCTGAGCTGGGTGTGGGGAGGTGGTGGAAAGCTTATCTCTGGGGCAGGGGACCTCCCTCAGAGCTTCAGTGTGCATCAAAAGCACAACACATACATTTCTGGGCTCTTCTCCCAAGAGATTCTTACTTGGTAGGGAATATCCAGTCCCTGATGACCGCACCTGGGGGAACCCTGCCCTATGATTTCAAAGGAAAACAAACTCCAAGCTTGCCAAAGGGTTGTAGGGACCAGGCTGTGATTTTCCACCTGTTCCTTAGTCTGTTACTGCTTCCAATTTGATTCACCCCATCTGTATTTCACCATTTGTTTCAGAGTCGGGGAGGTGGGAATGACCAGATGGGAGTTGCCTCGCATGCTACAGTGGAAAGAACACTTCCCTGAGGGTCAAGAGACCCAGGTTTTGGTCCAGGCCTTGCCACAGACCAGGGAAGGGGCCTTGAGCAGCAGCAAGTCACTCCCCTGGGCCTGTTTCCACATCTGTAAAATTGGGAAACCAACTCGTGCTTTATAAGCTTCCAGAGAAGGGAGGGGGGTGGCTTTTCTGAGGTAAATATGCAAATGCTTTGCAGAAAACATAAAGTGGTATTGGAACAGGAAGAGTTATTATACAGGTGGTGGGGGGACAAATTCCTCCTGGCAAGAGTGCCAATTTGAAATTTGAGATCTTGTGCCTCCTTTAGAGTCCACAGTTCCCAGAGACCTCCCAAGGTCTGCCACCAGTCCAGCCACGGGCACTCAGCTATGCCCTGGCCAGAGGCGGTAGACAAGGTGGCAGGGTTACTACGCCTGGATACAGTTTGGTCTAAGCTCCAGGGCTGGAGAGTTGAATCTCAACTTTCAACCTGGGAAAGAGCACAGAAGGATGAGCTGGCAGCTCCCTCACCAGGAAAATGGCAGAGCCTCTGGCTCCATTTTGGCGGCTTAGAGTTTCTCCTGGGGTGACCTGGAGGAAAGCACTGGCTCTGTCTTCGGCACACATTTTAGGGTGGAATTGGGGGCCAGGAAGATTGAAAGAAACGGGGTTTTGCTGCTTCTGCTCTGAACCTGCCTTAGGCCACCAGAGCCTCCCTGAGGGGAGCCGGGGCCCTTGGATGAGGTGGAACTTATGCCTGCTCACTGACCGCCCCCTGAGCCTGGGCTACTTGAAGGAAGGCTGGGTCCTCAGGGGCAAGGGCAGGTGGGCAGGCAGCCCTCCCTCTCTCTCTCTCTCCCTCCCCGCCGGCTGGCTACCTACCTCCTTTCCTACAAATTTTCTTGTTGGGCTTTCGGGCGCATTCCTTGGAAATCCGCTTTACTGTAAAATGAATAAAAAACTAAAAAATAACAGGAGGCCTCTGCCCAGGGGCATGCACCCCCCACCCCCCCAGGCCCCAAGAGCTGCTCTGCAGGCGGCACATGGCAGAGAGCCTGTCCCACCATCTCCTTGTTTCTGTCACTTACCTTAGTGTGACCCCCGCGGGAGGAGGCATCAGCTAGTGAAAGAGGAGGCACCTAAGCACTGCCCACCAGGCTTGCCCCCTTTCCCCCCACACACACCCAGCTCCCTTGGCCACACACACCTACCACCTCTCAGAGCAGGCGGAATGGCAACAGGGGGGCCCGGTGGAGCCAGCATCCTCCCGCGGGGAAGTTGCCAGCAGTGACCCATACTCCCCCAGGGAACCCCCATCCAGCATCTGGCCCTAGACCTGTCAAAGCTCTCAGGCCTGGCCAGGCCCATCCTGTGGTAACAGTGTCACTCACACATGGGAGCTCAGACAATGCTGGGAGAGGAAAGAACAGGGAGGAGGAAGAGGAAGTCCAAGCAAGTGATGGTTAAAAGCCTTTTCACAGACAGACAGATGCATGCTTCAGGGCACACGACCACATGCCAGCCACAAACACGGTGGGGTGGGTGGGAAGCAGGGAGGGCATAGCGCCTGGCCACACTCACCATCCTCCGTGGGCACATAGACGTTCAGGTAGAGGCAATCCTCGTTAGGCTCCTGGATGTAAGTAGCGACGATATCCAAGTTGGCGGTGAACCAGACAGGAAGCATGACTTCGGGCACAGCTGTGTGGATGTTCTGGGGGCACACTGGGGGAAACTGTGTGGCGTTCCGGATGCCCGACCAGGATGGGGGTGGTTCAGGGGGCAGGAAACGTTTCTCGCCGATCGGGGGAGCTGCGTAGGGCACCCCAAGGTACTGGTCCACAGGCCCCAGGATCTCACTGGGCAATGGTACCCGGGCACCCCTTAGCTTCCCAAAGTGAGTGTTGACTGTGGGTGCTGGGGCCTGGGTACTGGCCCTCAGCACCAAGCTCAGGAACCACAGGGTGAGGCACAGGCTCCGGCCAACTGTGGGCTTGGGGCTCAGGGACAGCGAGGGTGGGCCAAGCCACAGCCACATGTTCCGGGCCGGGGGACTGGCAGGAGAGGCAGACTCCAGGGTCACAGCATCAGCCCAACAGGCAGCCCCTTCATGGCCACACTGACTTGAACCTCAAAACTGAACTCTCGAGGGACACCTACAGGTGCCCGGCAACGTACAGAGCAGGTCGTCCGAGCACCACAGCTTCAGAAAGGGGACTCCCTCAGGGCCAGTCAGGCCTGTGGAAAGAGGGAAGTATGCGTCATCCAAGATGGTTGGGAGGACCGTGGAGTGGGTCTTTGGGGCCCTACTGTGCTCGGGCTGTTCTACAGTTAAGAAAGGTTTCTTCACACCTGGGATTCCAAGGACCCTCACACTGCCATTCAGAGCCATTCGTTACACCCGGGGAAGTGGTTGGAAAAGCCAAGGGGATGGAGAGATTGACAGTTGTTGCCACTGTAAGTTGCCAGCCCCCAACTTCAACTTCTCAGCCAATGGAGTTCATTGGGGTCAGCGGGAGCCAGAATAGCATGTGGGGGAACAGGAAGTGGAGCTCAAGTTCCTGGGTACTCTTCCTGGACACTGAGCTTCTAGCCTCCAAGACCCATAACCCCCATAGGGTCCTCCATGTCAGGAGAGGGTAGGATTGTGCACCTCACTCCAGGACTAAGGCAGAATAAGGGAATGTGCATCACATAAGCAAAGGGGCCTCCAGAGAGACCCCCTCTCTCTCTGGCAGGGCAGGGGGCAGGACAGACATTCACAAGAGTCCCCAGGCCCTCCTGTACATTTCTCCACAGCCCTCACTGCTTCCAAATACTTAAGCATCAGTCCTTTCTGGCAGTTATCTCTAATTCACACGGGGTGCCAGAAACTGAGGCAGAAAGCAGTCTGCCTAGCACCCTAGGCATTGTTGATGCTCAGCCAGTGTAAAATAAACAACGGAGGGCGGGGGACACACACTCAGAGACTCACAGAAATAAACTCACAAAGACTCAAGAGGGAGTGAGAGAGAGAAAGCTGGGATCACAGACACTGTGATATTCACTCAGAGACATATATTTCAAACCCACAGAGACCCCCTCATATAGTCCCACCTTCTGAGACAGACAGCTTCACAGAGCCAGAAACTCACAGAGAGATACATTCAGAGACACACAGAGACTCACAGAAACCTAATCACACATACCACATAGGTAAATATCCAGAGACAGAGGCAGCATAATGGTGACACATAGGTGGAGACAGAAGCAGAAATAGCAACACACTCGAGGCACACAGGCCTTCTGATACAACAGCTGTACAGTCAACACACAGACACAGGCACACACAGACACTCCCGCATGGACACACACACACACACACACAATTGAGTTTCCCCCTATTTCTCCCGCCTTCCAAGATTGTAGGCCTGCTCCTTTAAGAACTGGCTGAAGGGGTGGGGGAGGGAGAATGGGAACGCCCGGCCACCGCCACCGAGAGAGGGGAATGAGAGCGTGAGAGAGAGAGAGAGAGAAAGAAAGAGAAGAGAGAGGGAGAAAGGAAAAGAGAGAGAAGAGGGAGGGAAAGAGAAAAAGGAGGAGGGAGGGCGGGCAAAGAGACTAAAGGGGGGGCTCAGAGGAAATGGGGATAAAAGTATGGGTGGTTAGATCCCAGACACTGCCCAGAATGCACCCGGGTGGGGGGAGGAGGGGAAGGGGTAGGAGTAGGGAGGTGGGGCAGGAGGGAGTGGGTGTGCGTGTGTGTATGGTGGGGGGGGCTAGTCCGCAGCTGAGTTCACACAATCCCCCCATTCACCGTCTCCATGGCAACTCTGGGGCACAGACCGCTCATTCACATGGCTTCCCCGCCAGCAACCCCCCCCCACACACACAATTAACCCCCTCAGTGCCGCCCCTCCCCGCAAATTCCATTAACCCTTTTGAGATGCCTCCCTCTCCAGTAACCCTTGAGCACCAAATGCTGTTCTCCTATGAGTCAATTTCCTGCAGCCCTTCCCCCGTGAACACCTAGACAAATCAACCGACCCCCAAACGCCCTCTGTACCCTAGGACCCACTGTGAGTCCCCAAGGCCAAGATCTCCATCCTGGTCCAACTTGCAATTTGGGAGAAGACAAGGGGAGGCGGCAAAGCTGGGGCTCAGAAAGCATCTGGGGGTACTCTGGGCTGGAGCAGTATTGGGCGGGGGGCATTGTGCAGGAATGGACTGGTGTGGAGAACTGCAGTATTGGGGGCTTTGCGGGTTCTGAATGGTATTGGGGGATGGAGCTGCATTGGAATGGGGGAGGATAGGATAAAGGCCTCCGTTGGGGGGGGCTGCAGAGAGTGGGGGAGGGAGTCTGGCTGTGAGATGCTATGGTGGAAGAAGGATGGGGCTGCACTGCGGGGGAGGGGGGACTGGCAATGTGCAAAACAGAAACGGGGCAGGGGGCCCTCAGGAGGGGTATTTTGATGAGCATGCAGGCCGGGCAGTGGAAATAGAGGGACCATGGGCGGGAGGATGATAAGGATGCGGGATTCAGGGAGGAAGGAGGTGGGGGGGAAATGCGGGGGAGGATTGGGGGGGGTCAGGGGTGCCGATGGAGAACATAGGGTTGAGGATGGGGTGCACTGGCTGGGAAGTGGAGCACCCCAGGATTGGGAAGGGATAGGATCGGGGCAAGGTATGGGCAGCTAGAGGATGAGAGACCGGGGCAGGCGGCCTCACCTGTTCCCCGGGCTGTTGCGAGCGACTGAACCGGGCCACGGACCACCCATATCGCTTCCAGGCCAAGGGCTCCGCACCCGAATCCCCGAGATCTGCTCTCCGGCAGCCTGGCTGCTGTGCCCGCGCACCGAGGGGGCGCGCTGCGCGTGCCCGGACAAGGGGGGGCGCGGTCCCTGCCATTAACTCCTTTTGTGCCAGAGATGGCTCAAGTCCTGGGGCATGGCCCAATTCCTCCCAGGCTCAAGCACTCTCCCCATCCTCTCTCTCACACATCCGTCAAATCACAGACAGATGATCTTCCAGGGCAGCTAGTTCAAACTTTACCTTCAAAGCTTGAGACCTCAAAACAAAGGGAGAAACTGAGGCACTGCCTGCAGGAGTCTTCAGTCACACTCCATGAAGACCAGCCTCCAGCCCATTTGGTATCCTTCACCTCTCCTCAGCACCAACACCACTCAAGCACTAACAATAGGTGTGTATGTGTGGGGTGCACTTTGCCCTCATCCTGTCACTCTCAAAAAGGTCAGTGTTGTTCCTTTCTATTGGGGTATGTCAGACTCCGGCCGTCAGCATGCCAGTTGTCCAACCATGTCAGTCTCTCCTACTCCAGACCCGGCTGTCTCAGTGTCTTGTGTTCTGTGTGTAGGGCACCTGTCCAGTTCCATTAGGCCCCCATCCGAAGCCCCTCTGAGTGTCCCTAATCCCAGCCAAGCCTCTACCCATATAGTTCCTCAGAATGTTTTTGTCAGGATAACACAGGGCAGAAGAAAGCTTCAGTCAGTTATGTTCAACTTTATCCTGTTGGACAGTTCCTCTCCTTGCGCATACTACTCTTAAATTTAGTAAGTCCCATCTGAGCAAGGGCTTCATGGACCTCAGAAGGACTTTTTTCTGTAACTTGGGTATTGACTGGTGCTCCTGGTTTTACCAGCACACCTGACATTTCCCAGTGCTAGAGTGCAACCATGGCCTGGATGGTATCCTGAAGTCCGATTGTCCAATCCACCCACGTATGAGGTTGGGACTGGCCTCTTCCAGCCCCACCAGTAAACCAGTTTCTGACAGTAAACCAGTTTCCTCTCATGGACAGTCTTAGATCTTGAGCCCCAAACCTGAAGGCAAGGGCACTGAAAATGGCCCTGCCACAGTTCCAAATGTGACTCTGGAGCAACATTTTTGAGTTTTCTCTACTATAAGACGGGAGTGAGGAGGTCACTCTGGGTAACTGTGAAGATGGGTCGTGTGAAAGCAAGCAGTTCCAGTAACAGAGCAGAGAGAGAAAAGGGTGCTTCCTTTCACTGGTTTCTTTTCCTCCTGGAACCATTCTGTCCTTCCCCTACCTATGTGATGGCAACACTTACCAATGGAGGATAATGTTTTGTCCCAGAAATGTGACTCAGGGAACTTCTCTATCTAGGATATCACTTGGTGCGTGATGGGGACCATACAAGGTGGCCCAAAGGATAGGCAGTGTCTGTCACCCCCACCTCCCACCCTGAAGCTTATTCAAAACCCAGCATGTGGGGTGGGTGGAAAGAGAATCAGGTTCCAGTGATTTTTCCCCTGGTCCAGTGGCTCCTCTCCAATCCCAGCAGTGTTTCCTCCATGGAGACAAGCTATACAGAAGTCACACCATCTAGATGAGAAGATGATCTGCCCTTATTGAGACACTAAGGCTCCAAGTCTTAATGTGTTGCCAGGTTAGAGAAAGGAAGAGATGGTAGCAATCCAATTAGAATTCAGAAATGTAGGGGGTGGAAGGTGAACAGGAGAGATGATCTGAACAGAATGAAGGTGCTGACTTGCTGGTCCAGCCCCCACACCCTTCCAAGAGCCCACCCTTCCCGGACACGCAGATTCACACACTTCCTTTGCAAAGAAGCTCTGTGTATTGGGTGCAACAGCTCTGGGGTCTCTATATAAATAATATACAAAACCCAACAGCTCAATGCCTCACATTAACAAAAATACTAAAAACTCATTAAAAATGGAGCCTAAGGGAAGAGCCCCAACCACTACTGGTGCTAGCCCGGGAAGAGGACTGGGAATTAAGAGGAAACGGTGGGGCCACATCCAGTGCACAAGCAGTTCCTCCAGGTGGCTCAGTAGCGTCCAAATATGTTGGTACTGGGCTGTGGCTGGGTGTCTGTGAAAAACCAGAGACTATCAGGGATGGGCAGCCAAGCAGGGGTGAGGGGAGCCAAGCATGAGGAGAGCCACTCAGACAATGCTTCCCCCCACAAGCTGGGCCTGAAGCAATCACCTCAGCTACTTTGACCTCTACCCTCCACCCCTCCCCCACCCCCACCCCCAGTTATTCTGTGGGGGCAC